CGGCTGTGAACAAAGACCTGTCTAATCACCATAGCTTCGGTCTCTCTCGCTGTGATTGTGGCGGAAGTCCGAGATCGCTGTCTTTGATCGCGTATCTGTGTGGGTTGTTTCGGCGAGCTGTAGTCCGGGCCTTTAGCCTTTTGACCGGTTAAATCGCTGAATGTATGAAGCCTTTAGGTATTGTTGTCGGTTCTACGACTGTATACTTCTTTCTCATGACGCGCCACGCGACGGCTTTGTGATCGACTGATCTCCCGCTTGGGCTGTTTGCCTTGACGCCTGGCAGCCATGGCTGGCTGCAGGCGCTGGCCAGGTAATTAAGTCTAGGCCTTTGGTCCATTTTTTGAAGCCTTAAGTATTTGTTTCGGTGAATACGAGGCGTTGAGTGTGGGGGGTTCTTTGATGGAGCCTCCCGGGCTCATTTATCCGGCTTTGTCAGATGCTTCCCCGTCCGCCGTGGCTGCTGTTGGTCGCGTATGATTTGAATATGGACTGGGAGTAAATTGGTTACATACATCAAATCAAACATGTTTTTGGGCTTGCTGAGTTGGTGGTCGCAAGCCACTTTGGTAGTGCTGGGGAATAAAATATATCGCTATTGCACCTACACTCAAACTTTCACCATAGTTCTAGGAAACTAAAACCTCTTGTACACCTATCTTAAACATGAAGAGCCTTCATAGCTATAGCTTCATTCAAGACTATATATCCGTCGTAGAGATCAAAACCTGGGGAAGCAACATCGATGGGACACCCCGGAGGTATGTACGGCCGCATCCGGCCAGGGGGCCCAACGCTACCCCAGTCCGAGACTAGAAATAGGTCCATTTTCGCTTTGACGAAAATAGAATACAGAGAATAAAAAACTAACAGCGGACGGATCAGGGGATTCAAAGTATTGTCCTTCCTGAAATAATACCATACGGATTTCCGATCTATACTGTAAGCCGGAAGCATCTATAGCGAGATAGCGATCAAGATCCGGTGAGACCGAATAGCGCCCAAGGCAGCCAACAGCAGGGGTCATTATGCGTAAATCTAGCGCCGAGCGATCACTGGGTTTGTGATGTGTCGATGGTTGACAGGTGCATCGCAGTCGTGTGACTAGACCAACGATTCCCCGAAGAAGGCTGCAAAGGAGCAATATGACCACATATATCGAAAGTGACAAATCTTCAAAGGAAGTTTCAAAACCGACTCCCAATCTACATGTAATTATTGTCACGAGCGAAGAAGCAAAACAGACGTGTTCTGGAGTTCTTGCTCAACCGCGAACAGATTGAAGCCACGTCGATAGACGATGCCATGTGAACATCCTGGTGATTCAGATTCTGGCACCTATGAGGCTGACTCGATCAACGATTAACTCACCTTCCTAAATTAGAACCGTCACTTTCTTCACTTGCTTCATCAATATCGCGACCTCGGCTTGTCCACTCTCCTCCCGCTCGCCCCGTTCCACATGGAGCCGAGCCGTCTTCCAGGTCATCTGGACAGTGTTTATAGTGACCGGCAGATGTTTTCCCGAAAGTTAGCGCACCTATGGACTACCACTAGAAGGAAGAAGGCACGATATTCATTTCTCCTTATCGGACATGGCAATTTTTGAGATCAGTCATCCCCCCGTGCTCTCACGAATTTATTTCCGGACTGGCTCTTCGAGGTCTACCAATATCAGAGCTAGCACCATTGACCATAATATGCTTTGCTATCTGCCTTGATGGCGCAAGTGGGTTTCTTTGTGTCTTGGAGATACTTTCGTGGCCCTCAGCCAATGTACCACACGACTTGAGATGAGCCTCGGCAAGACAGACTGACAACCATCACAACCCGGATGGACGGACCATTTATCACAATCCGATCAATGCGCATAAATAGTGATGAAGGGTAAAGTCGAGATCAATCAATCAAGCAGTGGTGTGCTTGACGGCCTTTTGCCCATGAGCCACCGAATCGACCTGAGATTGCCAAAATTTCTACCCTAATCTGTGCTCACTGTGGGTGACCACCCATCTTAAGAAACATGACAGACTGGAAAAGAAGTGCAAACACTGACAGAGTGGTTCTCAAACTATCATGACGTCTTCGGAATATAGAGGCAGACGGATGTAGGTGCCTCTAGATTTTACGAACATGCTTGCCATCCAGCTCCATTTCTTCGGCTATTTAAGCTAGGTACGAGTGGTTAACTGTATACTGTATTAAGGATGATATAGCACTCAGATATTGGGATTTTCAGATTTATCTTCCAGGATCCATTCTTAGATAACACCCAACAGACATGAATAGATGTCTACAACCCAACGAAAATATTAAAAGAAAGCACAACAGAAACGTGTATAGCAGTCTCGGGTAAACAACATAAACCAAGGTCTCACCCACGTTATACAAAAAGCCCAGACCCATTGCAAACCAATAAGCAAAGCCAACATCGAGACCATCGTACCCAAGCCTGGACCTCACCAAACAGACAACCAAAAAAAAAAAAAAGGAAGCAGCCAAAACAACCGAACAAACCCCACGTCCCACGAAATTGCAAACAAGCCCCGTGGACGAAAATCACCGCGAGATTGGGGCTTCCACTCGTACCTGTCAGCGCCGTCACACCGCAGCGATGGATTGGCATTCGGCCCGATGCGAGAGCTCGAACCAATTCATCTATCGGCCTCCCTCCCCCAGACTATCCGGCCCAGCCAGGTAGTTACATGTAGGGTGTGGTACCTAATCATACCCGAATACTGTGCTTGGCCTGCGGTGATGCTTTTGCTGACGTGCGTCCCATGGTGGCGCCTGTCGCATTTTCAATTTATGCCGCCTTTTGGACTTGGCCTGCTGCGGGTCATGGGTGTCTTTAAATGTATCTGCCGCGGGAGACGCAGGACTAATATACAGGGATTGTGGGATTATTGTATGTATGTAGATGCTATGCTTTGTAGGGATTTGATGCAGTGGTATGTACCCAATAAAGTCTTCATGCTCGAGTGACATTTGTTTCCTTTTTTTGCTTTGGAATTGCACTGCAGCTCGAGTTCATTGACTTCCTGTTGCTGTCTCAAAATAATAACGGCTGTTTTCGTTGTGATATGTTGGTCTAGACATTGTTTTGTTGAGTCTAGGCCGTTCTCTAGCTTTATAGATGGCACAGCGAGTAAGTAACTCAAAAGTTGAATTACATTTCCAGATTTTGATGTTCAGGAGAGCATTAAACTCTTTCAATAGTCGCCCACGACTCACATGAAGTAAAAAGAAATACTAGACAAAAGAAACCTGACCAGAAGAATGAGCAAGGTGATCCAAGGCATTATCCCCAGCCAAGGCTCAATAAATCTAAGACACCAAAATTAGTCATTCGCATAATGGAGGACTACGATTGTACTTCCATGCATTGTGCAACCCAGAATCAAACCTTGAATCCCTGAACCAAGCTGAAAGCTCCATCATACCGGGCAAAGACGACACGAAAGCGGAAGAGGAAAAAAAAAAAAAATCTGACTCTCTGACTCTTACTTCAGCTAAACACTATTTCTGAAATAGGTATACAGTATGTCCCTCGGGCGCGAGGGCATACAGCATAACAAGCCTACGCGGCCACCAGCCACCATAGTATTCCCATTCGAACGTCCTGCCAAAGCCCAGCAAGCTCCGACAGTTACCTAAACCCTATATGCAGAAATTACAATTCCAGACCGTCCCATAGGTCGGTACCTCTCCTTGCTCGAAGTGATTCCCCTGATGGGCGATGATACAGCAGAACGCAAGACATAAGAACAAAGAGCTTGTCAGATCTCGTGTAGTGTAGCTTTGGGGAGGTTAGACTTTGTCTTTTCGTGTTTTGTAGAACCTGGAAGAATCGTCACTGCAAAGCTGGAGATCGCTGATCGCTACCATTTTCTACTAATTTTGCGTGCATGTCGTACGAATTACTTCATCGAAGGTCGACCTTACATGCAACGACGATCGGATCTTCTCACCTCGTATCCATGAAGAAAAGGCAGGTACCATGTGTATCCTCGCTTCAATAATCCTAGGCGTGACTATATTTCTACCCGAAAGTGGAAGAAATAGGGACGGAAAGGGACTGACAGCGGACCAAGTTATCGAACAACGCATCACTCATTTGATATACCATCATGACCAAGACTCAGACTCAGATGCACAACTGCCGGTGGATTCAACGATCGCCAGACCCAAAGGAAAGAGCCGTATGTTCAGTTTCTCGTATCCGGGTAACATGGCAGTGTAGATCTCTCGACGGTCAGGTCACCAGTTAACCTCTCTTTGGTGTAGGTGGCATGGGAATGGTAATAACACACCGAGGTTGAGCGGAAGTCAATCTCCGGAAGTTAGAATCGGCAGTTGATGTCGGAAACATCTGAAGAGAGGGTGTGTGTATGTTCTTTCCTTTTCTCTTTGGGGCAGTACGGTGTTGTTCCTCGGCATATCGGGTGAACCCTCGTGAGCAATGGCGAACCCTGACGATCCCGAATGGAGGCACGGATCGCTACGAAAACGGTATATGTTTGAATGTGTCGGTATGTTGGTGTTAGTATGCTAGTTTCAGTGAGTCCACTAGTGTGTATTTTGCGTTGCTCTCCTTCCTGGTCGTAGGAGGAAGTTACATTTCGCCCTACCCTAGGCAGACAAGGTAAGACCGACATGACCGTGTGTTCGATATGTACGCAAGCTGTATCGATGTATCTCGTTATACTTGCACCTGTAGTCTTTTCAGACAGTTTCGATGGGGAGCCCTGAGTGGTCTGTCTTGCATTTATTTAGACTTAACCTCGTAAATGGAGAAAAATATAGATCCAGCTGCTTGCCTGGAGGAGCTCACGTCTAAAGTAGAGCAGGAATATCGGCAAGATGAGAGACATTATCAATCCTTTCGCTTTCATTGCAACCGAAAGGTTCTATGTAAGGGACCATGTTTTTTACATAGGCAAACCAGAATCATCAATTTTTTCTTTTACCATCGCCGATTAATACTAGAGCCGAGTAATCTAGAACTCTGACTCGTCGTCACCGGAGATGATAACGTTGTTGATCTAATTGTAAGTCAGTATGCGACAGGACAAGAAAGGAAAAAGAAAGCCATACCTTAAGAACCATACGGCAAAGCTGGGTAGCAAGCAGAAGCTGCTGGCGCTTGCCGATCAGGGGGTCAATGGCGAAGTGTTCGCGCATATCTGAGATAGAAGTTAATGAATGCACACCAACGAACAAAAAGGTTCAAATAACTTACCATTGGTACCGGTCTGCATGCAGTCAACACCGAGGCGGGTGTTCTTCTCCTTAACTTGACGCGACTTAATGGAAGCAAGGGTCTCAATGGGGCTGAGACCAGAGTTCTCAGAAAGGGCAAGAGGGATGGCATCAAGCGCATCAGCGAAAGCGCGCATGGCATATTGCTCAATGCCAGGGCTCTTAACAGCAGCATCCTCAACAGCGAGAGAGCAAGCAATCTCAGCAGCACCACCACCGTAGACAACACGGTTGTCACGGACCAGGTTGCGGACGACACACAGAGCATCGTGTAGTGACCGCTTAGCCTCATCAATGATCTAGTTGAGGTTAGCAATTGATACATCTCTTGCCTTCGCACAGGTCTACCTACCATCTTGTTACTTCCACGAATGAAAACGGTCACAGCACGGCTGTTGGCGCACTCCTCGATAACCAGCATCTTCTCTCTTGTGGTACCGAAGCTCATCTCACGGACCTTACCAGCTCTGCCGAGCTTGTCAGAGGTCAGATCCTCGAAGCGGGGCACAATGCGGCCGTTTGTGGCAATGGCAATCAGCTCAATCTCAGGTCCACCAACCCAGCGGACGGCAGGGAGCTCGTTCTGGAGCAGGAGGTGGTTGGCCTCGTCGTCGAAACCCCACTGACAGATAACAAGGTTGGCACCAGAGTCCTTCAGCTTCTGAATCATCTCTGTGAACTTCTCCTTCTCGTAATCCTGCAACTTCTTGAACTCTTCGACGGATGTGATGTCAAGTTTGTGCTTGGTCTTGGGCTTAGGGGGTTCGAAGGGACAGGTAAGGATGGCCAGCTTCGCATCCCGCACCTCATCGGGCATCTGGGGGTGAGAGAAGTCCTTGTCCACAATAACACCCTGGACAAGCAGAGAGTCCTCGAGGGATCCACCGACCTTGCCGTCCACCTTGATCAGTTCGAAATCGACGTCCTTGCGCTCAAGGTCGGCAACCGAGAGCACAGCATCAACGGCGATCTTGGCGAATTGGTCGTGAGACTTGGAGACACTGCGAAAGTTGTCAGCATCAAACGCTTTTGCACATCCACGGATCCATACATCTTGCTGCCGAGACTGGTCTTGGCCACTTGGAGGAGGTTGGTGGTATCATCTTTGCTGAAAGGGATTTCGTCACTGATTCTGTCAAGTTCGGCAACGGCGATCTCGCAAGCCTGGTCGTATCCATCGGCAATACGGATGGGATGGATGCCCTTGTCAATGAGATCCGAGGCTTGCTCCAGCATGGCAGCTGCGAGCACCACCACACCGGTTGTACCATCACCAATCTCCTCATCCTGAGACTTCGAGAGCTCGACTAGGAGCTTCGCCACGTTGTTTGTGATCTCCATCTATTGATATCCCACGTATTAGCTTCCCGGATCGAACTTGAGCCTCGCGGAAGGAAAGGAGTTCAGAGTCGCACCTGGCCGAGAATGGTTGCGCCATCGTTGGTGACGGTGATGTCGCCGTCCGCGGAGATCAGAATCTTGTCGAGACCACGGGGACCCTATGATAAGAGTCAGATGCCGATCCGCCCATCGGTTTACGAGTGCCATACCAGAGAAGTCTTGACAATGCTGGCCACTGTCTTAGCGGCAACAATGTGTGACTTGACAGCCTCGGTGCCGTGCTGTCTCTTCTTCTTTCCCTGACTGTTTTATCACATGTCCGTCAGCTCTGAATATGAACCATTTGACCCTCAATGGTATATGAAAGCGGAAAAATCGGCGTAGCGGTGAACGTACTCCCGAACAACGATGAATGGCCGTCCCTGCTCGTCCTTCAAGACTTGGGCTACCCCTGAGTGTCAGCGACCGGATTCGAGTTATATTAGGCTGGTATTCGGTAGGTAGTCACCTTGAGACATATCAAGCTCTGTTCAAGATCAAAATGGAGATAGTTAGCCATAGCACATTTCAAGAATGAGGGGTATGGGGGGTGTTCCTTACGCATTGCCATATTGACGGTGGGCTGCCACCTGGCAGGGTATAATGATTAAAAAGAGAGAGAGAGATCCGAAGAAAAAAAGGAATCAAGAGTGAGCAAGAAAGCAAAACACAGCTTGAATGAAATCCGAGGGGTTGAAGCTTCCCGAAATGCACTTTCGACAAATGAAATTCTGACTACCCAAAACAGACTAGCGTCTCTTGTCCGCCTTCACGCGTACTGAACTCCATGCTCTTGCTTGGTATGCGACTATCCTTACCTTGACTTTTACTGCTACAATTGAGGTTCGGACCTCGCATCGCCAATCTGTTCTCACGACTCTCAAATCTCATATCTCCATTCAGACCACCCATGCCTCGTAAGTGAGCCCATTGTTGATCTGTCGCACTCTCGCGCGCGTGAGCATCTTTGACTTTTGGATTCTCTAGCCCCCGTGGAGGATATATCGGACGAAGAATCTGGCGACATACCTTTTAGGGATGCGCCTGAAGACCAGGCCAACGACAAGGCTACCGATGACCCGGCCGAAGAGGACGAAGATGACGACGAAGAGGAGGAGGGAGTGTTAGTCGCGCATTCCTGCTCAGTGGCGAAGATTATTGCTGACAAGGAACAGGTACATCGTCGAGAGGATCGTTCAGCATGACTGGCTGGACGATGTATGTCAACAACAACACAGCCTTCATTTCGCGTCCGGCAAGCTGACCCGTAATCCTTAGGGCACACTCAAGCTTTTAGTCAAGTGGAAAGGCTACGAAGACCCGGCAGACTGCACGTGGGAAGAAGAGGAAGGTCTTAAGTACGTATGTGGGCGCATTGAGCCTCGGGACGTGAGACTCGCTCGCACGCATTTACTGACAAACAATCTAGGGAAGGAGCCAGTGACATTCTCGCGGCTTACTATAAGAAGGTGGGCGGGAGGCCCGAATTACCGCCGCCGAAGGCCAAGCCAGGCCGCAAGCGCAAGTCCATGGGGGATTCCAAGAGCGCCACACCCACGGCAAGCTCCTCCGCAGCCACTGAGCCCAAGCGTCGCAAGTCACAGAAGGAAACCAAAAAAGTGGAGTCCGACGCAGAGGAGAACGTTACCGACTGGGTGCCCAAGGGCAAGAGCTGGGACAAGGAGGTCCAGGAAGTTGACACAATTGTCCGCGACCCCGAGAACAATGGACTATACGCTTGGCTCGTCTTCAACAACGGAAGAAAGTCAAGGGTGACCATTGAGGCTTGCTATGAGAAGTGCCCAATGAAGGTATGCTAGCACCAATTGCAAGCCACAGGGAATTGATGATGCTAATTGCCAATTAGATGCTCAAATTTTATGAATCACATCTGTGAGTCCAGCCATCCCCACGAAATTCTTGACGGATACTAACATCCCTTGCAGTGTTTTCAAGGACGGCTAAGCGCGTCATGCATCTGGTTATGTCAAGGGCACATGACTGGAACGGTTACTCCCCTGAGAATTTCATTTATACGATATCTAGGGGAAAAGGTGAATTATCCGTGATCAATGCTCTCTACGGACTTAGCCAAAGTACTCTTGGATTTGGCACAATACCCTCTTCACTTTCGTCCTCTGTTCTTACTTCAAGGCTTTTCTTTTCTCTGCGTTCCTGGACTCTTCATAACCGGTGTAATTTGGTCATTTCGTCTCCTAATAGCAGGATTATCTCAGTGCATTAAACCGCAATTATTCCTTCCTTTCCCTGTAACTTCCATCCGTGCGCCTGATAAAAAGAGAACCTCCCATGGATATCACTAAATGAGGCCCGCCTCCCGTGCCATTCTGTAGTACTCCCATCGCTCCTTCACGAATTCAGCACCATGCTTCGTCAAGGCTCGTTCCACGTTCGCACGTTCTTCTGCCTGTAGACATCGGTCATCATCTGTCGTCCACACCCCAGGTATGCCGTCGGGGATCCCGTTTCCAGCAGCGAGGTGTTTCAGGACTTTATCAGCCATATCCGGAACCATACTCGTGCAGCGCAATGCGTCAAAAACGTGATTTTCATCAATGCCCCGACTTAGCCGTTCATCGATCCAGGTGTCCACGTCCGGTCTCTCGTTAGTGTCATCGTCCATCACATCTGGTGCTGGACTTGACGGAAAGAATGGTAGTTCTAAGAAAACGGGGTCCACTGGGTCTTTGAAGGGATCGTCGACTTGGGGTCTGTCCTTGTTTGGCTGTTTCTTGAACCGACCCGACTGCGCAAAGGCGTTGTCTCCTCTTGGCCGTGAAACGGGGACTTGTTGTTGTGTTGTATTGAAAGGTGGTGGCGGAAATGCAAGGTTTCCACGACGAGTATTTGCGAAAGGACTTGGGACCTGGAACGGGGTGGGGTCTCCGCGGATACCGTGTGCCCTTGCCGTTGGAGACGGGGGGACAGGGTCCTTGGACTGAGGCCCAGCGGCCGATTTTGCTGCCATATTTGATGCGGTTGACCCACCAGGGGATGGCACACGAGGTCTGGGCTGAGTAGAGCTGGAAGCAGTGTCAACTGCTCTTCTTTTCGAGGAGGAATCGGCTGTCTGAGGTTTGTCGACTGGTTTGGGGTCCGAATCTCGCTTTCGTTTTGAGCCGGATGGGGCAGCTTGCATAAACTCAGCGTGGGATTGGGGAACTCCACCACCAGGACGAGGCTTGCCACGCAGCTGCCTAACATATCGAGTACGCCACGATTGCCATGAATGACGAGGGCACTGAGTTTCGAATGTTAGCGTCTTTGTCGTACTTTTTCCAAAGGAAGGGATAGGTTCCATCATACAAGTTGTTCTAGTTCTATGTATACTTTGTTACCGCTGAGAGGCGCTCCAGGCTCTTTTTTCTCAATATGGGCAATCCAGTCAAAGAGGATCTGGTCATCTTCCAGTGTGAAGGGTTGTCTGGTGCCTTTGGTAGCAATGTGAGTTGCCCCAGCCGGACGAGGTCTGGATGTCCCAGCTCGGTGTGCTTCAAGATCTTCAAGCCGGCCATTTTGAATGGACCGTTCAACATATCGATAGGAATATCTATCATCGCATTAGCATGAGTTCACAGTTGAGTCGGGACAGAAAGAACACACGTATCAGGAGGAATGCCTTTCTTTGCGTGATCTACCAGCTTCACATCGGCATCTTTCTCCATGAGCACCACCGTGCCACCATGTTTCTACCTCAGTCAACTTCCCGAGCCATCGAATAGATGGAGTGGCAACAAACCGCTATCATTTCTTTAAACCTCAGCCTTTGGGGAACAGTCTGGGACAGCCAAAACCTTGCGCCTTTGAACAGGCTATCTCCTGCCCCGCCATTACCAGAAGACGCCATTTCTAGTGACCCTCGCCCTGGAGGGGATGCTGTCGGTGTCCTTGACCTCTGGACGCGATATCACCTGTCAACGTGTACAAGTATCATAATTCACGGGCGAAAAGACTGCATATGACATCAGCCTTTGATAAAACCTTGGAGACAAGCCCAGAATGACCTGGTGAATTCACTTAGACAGTCGCGCGTGGAAAGTTGGTCCTGAGATGGAAACGGCGGTCACGTGGTGTACACAAAACCGACTCGGCGCTGACGTACCACGCATCAAGGGCATCACAAAGGAACCTTGGAGAAATTGTGAGAGAATGCACGAGTGACTTGAAACTAAGAACAATAACAATGGGTGCTCTCAGAACGGTTGGTCTGGTGATTCTGGGAATCTCAGCGTTCACTTTTATCGCTCTGTTTGGCAGGCTACCAGCCTTCAGGTAAGGAATGCGCCTAAGAGTTCCCAACACGCGCTAATTAATCCAGAAAAACCCCAGTCGCTTTTTTACATCGGCTTCTGTGGGTGTATCTTCCCAATGGAATTGCTGTTGTCGACAATCGCTTGTTCGGCGGACGAGTAGTGCGGTGCTGGACTCGATCCGGCAGCTATGTATTGAAGGAGAATCATCCTTTGGTTCTGGTATGTCTTGAGATTGTATAAATCGACCAGCATGTTAACCTTTTACACCAGATATTCTTTGTATCACTACTCGTGATTGGCGAAGGGATATTTGTCCCAGCTGCGTGGCCTCGGCTGTCGAGCTCCCATAAACTTTGGGTCCCCGGTGCTGTTGTATTGCCATATGTTCTGCTCTACAAGTGTGTAATGACAAAGTCATTTATCACACCTGAAAACCACGAAGAAGAAATGAAACGATACCCATACGATCGAGTCCTCTTCCACCCAGGACATCGCTGTACCACCTGTGACTTCCTCAAGCCAGCGCGTAGCAAGCATTGCAGTTTCTGCCAGGCTTGTGTCTCACGACACGATCACCATTGTGTCTGGCTGATGAACTGCGTCGGAGCCAACAACTGCGTTTACTTCATCTCGCTGCTGCTCTCACTTTCCGCCATGCTGGTCTACGGATCTTATCTTGGTTATTCCTTGCTTTCCGGGACCCTCGAAGAGCTAGTCCCGCCAGATATGAAGGCTGCCATGCAAGGATGGACAATGTACTTCAACATCTGGGGTATTGTGATTGCTGCCGATCCCCGTATTGGGACTATCTTCCTCTTGATGCTCATGACTGCCCCGCTGGCGGGTGCTTTCCTGGCTTACCATGTCTACCTGATCTGGGCTGGCACGACTACCAATGAGACATCCAAGTGGTCTTACTGGAAGGATGATGTCGAGGATGGCTTTGTTTTCAAGACAAAGCGAAGTCTGATCTTTGAAAACCCACTGCCAATGACTCCCTATGATCAAGCGTGGCCTGTCCACACTGATCAGATTCTTATCATCGACAATGATCCTCCGACGGAAGGATGCTTGCTGGCATCTGACTCCAATCGTATCGCTCGTCGTCCTGGCCGCGAAGTACCACCCGATCCGCGATGGAAGCGACTTGACAGTATGAGGGATGTTGACAACATCTATGACCTGGGCTTCTGGGATAATCTCCGAGACGTGATGGGACTGTCTGTCCGACGACCGAAGAATGTGCATAGATAGATGGTCACTGGATGACCTAGGTAGATGCGAATTGAAACTTGCT